CCCTCCCCCCTTCTCCATCCTCGACTACTAACACTACTATCCAGTACTACCAACTATCTTTCCCTCGAACCAAAACCACCTGACCAGCTATATTTCTATCCAGGCTATTCGTTACTGGGCGATCGCTCCGTTTCGAATATCTGTATCACATCGAAAATTGGCAACCGATCGTCGATACGGTCATATTGATTAAGAGTGACACCCCTATGTATACTTTTCTGTGTTTCCATTTGTATGTCTCTACGTACCATGAACACGTGTGCAGAAGGGTGAATGAGCTTATATATACGTGGGTACTATATGTATATATGGACCCCAAAACCTCATTCTCTCTCTCTCTCCCCCAACTCCTCTGGCACTGTGTCTCGACATTGGAAGAGAGAGAGAAAGAGAGAGAGAGAGAGAGAGAGAGAGAGAGAGAGAGAGAGGGAGAGCGTAAAAGAAATCCGAATATCGGGTGCTCGTTAAATTCGTTTCGAGATCGGATTACAGTGGCACTCCGAATCGGCTGTTTCTCCTTTCATGTTTTTTATCCCATACGATTGGTACGCGTGGCACTCACGAACCAATCGTAAAACCGGTGCACGTTGTTCTGTATATATTTACATCCCTTTTGACTTTTGCCGAGTTTTATGGCTTTGATTATGTATCGTTGCGCGAATGAAAGAACCTTGTTTTTTTTTCGGACGGCTGATACAACACGGATTTATCTACTACGCATAGTCGAAGGTTTTTCATGGCAGCGACGGAAAAGCTTAGAGAATGACAAGGCGGAACTCTTTCTTCGCTATACACCGTGAGATCGTTAAAAAGAAGGGATTATACAAATCTTGTTACTATTATATACGCATATATACGTATATATATCAGTATAGAACGTATACACATATATGCTATTTTAATCTAACGATCCGATAGCCAGGTGATAATTACGTAATTACGTAACGCCCGATTTCAGTCACAAGGACTAGAACGTTGTAATCAAGTAATCACGTGCTTCATTCCTTTGACAAAAATCACAAAGGCTTTGTTTTCACGGCAGCTATACTACGGCACAGTAGAGTTCCTGAATATGTAATACAAGCGGTCATTTGATTCTGTGAAGGTGATTTCACGAAGGCTTTGAAAGTCCACGCGTCATCGTCTCAAAATTTCATCTGCAATTGAGACAATCAAGAAACAGCTGAGATACGTTGCAAAAACTTTTGAGAGTTCAGCCTAGAGACATTGTCGTCCGTCTTGTTGTGGTCTAGTGGTTGGCCGGGTGTCCAAGTGTCCATCCTACGACTATACCGTGTGTTCTCTAGTGTTTCGCCGTACAGTATACCTAACGTACTGGTATACCGTATAGTAGACGGTGTACGAAATGGATGCTGGGTACATAGTGGAGGATTTGCGTGGCACTGTCAGAAGCTTCTCCGGTATGGCTTGATGCAGATGCAGCCAACATCGGGCTAGTAAATTACACGTTGACTAGAGCTGACAACCGCAATGCGTGCAGGGTGGTCCATGGCTGGGTAGCATGCACGCTGCAAGGGATGCTGTGTGTTTATGTGCTCTATGAGTCCGACCACTGTCAACTGGGTTGTTCTATGAATTATAGAGAGTGATCATGGGAATAAATAAAGATAACTATAATACGTGAGGGTGAACCATGAGAATAGGAATGATAAGATGGGGATAGTGTTTTTTTTTTATTTTTCGAGTTAATACGACGCTTCCTATCCTGTGGTGAAAATATCGTAAGTACAAGGGTATCTCTTTTGGGGTGTGCGAGGGGTATATATACTTTCTTTCCGGAAGGCAGTGTATTACAAAATTCCACTAGCGCTAGAAAGCGGTTGCGATTCCACTCTGGTCGGGTATCAGTGCCAAACACTGGTAGTTATGTATATTAGGGGCAGTAAAACTGATGCAAATTTATTTCGAAATTCCGCGCGGTCCTCGTAAAGTTGTTTTAAAACTACCCTCGTAAAACGATTTGAGATCTTTTCATGGCGAGTCCGGGCGTGGGGGGTTGCTGGATACTCAGACTGCAAAAGTCTTCTTCCTATAAGGTTAAACGTATCTATGCGATTCCACGTGCTGCTAGACCAGGGCTTGATTGCGATTTACGGCAACGGAAATATAGATGCTGTGTAGCTTTTTTCTAGTACTTTCAAGTATTCACAAAGTCTAAATATTTTCATAGTTTCTGACAGTTTATTTCACAGCCTATCTATATATGTACGTTACTTTGATTTGAGCGTCGTAAGGTAAAACACTTTTACGCCTTAAGGTTCCACCACACCGAAGCGTTGATAGGGACCTGCGAAATGGCACGGGTGCGTTTTATAGCTACGTTTACAAATAAAATCCCAAACGTAAAGGTTTAGGAGAAGACAGTCACTCCTGAATACAGATTAATTTTTTTTTTCTTATTTCCATGTTTACAATGAATTAGTGTGCAGTACTAGACGCAGTCAGTTTATATGTATGCCATTGGATTGATGAAAGGCGAAAGTGTATCGCGTTTCGTATGAATGAAAAATAATGTAGAATCAAGTAAAAGTGACTCGGGACTCTGGTGGAGGGGCAGAAGTAGCTAGGAAGAGAAACGTGGTAAAAGCAAACCCATGCAAAACTGCACGATGAAAATTCCACGTGACCGAGATTGCCGGTGGACGCGTTAGGCGTCCCGACGTCCGGCAGCTCTCTCGTTTAATTATAATCCGACGTAAATATCAGCGAAACGTTTCCTCGAGCGCGTGTAACTAATCGGTGCGCAATTTGTCAGGAAATTCGCGGCGCTCCTCGTTCGCGTCCTTTAACGAGGCCGACGGGGCGATATTACAGTTGGCAAAATTTAAGGGCGGCTGTATTTTATCGCGACCGCGAGGGGTGAGCCCCATATACACACAGGGTGAGTATAGGAGCGATGGGTGGATGGGTGGGGGTAAGGGTGGTAAACGGAACCCCTGGATGCCTGAGGTTAACTGCCAGAGATTTTGGGGTGGGCCTAGCATGAATATGCCGCCATTACTCACACGCGGAATTGTGCGGAAAGAAGAGATGCGGCTGACACGAGTCTTGTATTATTTTTGAAACCCAACTACCCCATATAAAATTACTGGCAGCCCCTTGGCACAGGATCCAAAGACGGTAAGTTCTGCGAGCATCAACTATTTCCAAACGATTTATATTGTTCTATGATCATCGAGCAGGGAGAGGGACAGGATAGGGGCGAAAGACGAAAATCGGCGATTCGAGTAAATCCGAGACACGAAATATTCTTAGACATCGGAAAGAACGCGAAGACCTCTATGGCAAGCATTCTGCAACTTCTCAGCCAGAATGGAAACAGCAACTGAGACATTCGAGCTCGCAGCAACGCGCCTGTCAACTACAGACTTGATCGTTACATTTCGAAAGGCAGCAATGAAACGGTTAACTAAATTGCTACATGCCGGCTGTCACTGGCAGATCTACCATTTTCCTCGTCCTCCGTCATTCCGGTCCATCTACCATCTACGGAAACCCTGATCCTCTGGTTTTAGCTGCACCCAGTTAGTTTTACATGAGACAAATGATACCAGCCAGAATTCCGCTTGACGTAGATGGAGGGGAGTGACGTCACACTTGGAAATAATCCTAAGTATAATCAGAGTATTTTTCTTTAAATTTATTTTCAAAATACATAACAATCGTTCTTAAAGTTTTTTTCCTTATAATAGAATCATATCACTCTATCGTGTTATATGGCTTTGAAAGATTCATTTTTATCGTCGGCTTGCTCCTCTCTTGGTTCTGGATGAGTCTAGTGATTTAGGTGGTTCTAGGGAGTCTAGTGAATTATATCCTATGCCAGGTGGCTACATTAGGTAATCGACCTCTCGGTCCACTCGGCTCGCATCTAGTACCACGGATTATATCGTCTACGTATCCACGAATTAAACGGAAGTTGGTCTCTGTCGGCCGCAGGGTCATGTTTATCGTCTTCTGTAGTCTGTTGGTATTGAACCAGAGTTCCTCTTGGCCAAAGGAGTTCGTAATTATTTTGATACCACTGATGTACTGCAGATTGACTTCGTCCTGTGCGAGTATAACTATATTATCCGGGGTAAAAGGTTTCTCGATATCCCAGCAAGCGATCGCAGTCAGTTGTACCAACTGGAAGAACAGGACACCTCTTCTGGAAGTAGCCTGAACCCCAGCTTGACTCGGACGTCTGTAATTCGATTGGAAGATCACTGGTTCCCCGAAAGTGTCAGTCAATTTCAGTGAATTGACGTCAGCGAACTTTTGATAGTAACTCGCCAGTGAGTTGAAATAGAGGAATCTAAAATGTTAATTTTTCAAATTGAAAGTGAGAACGAGTTTAGTACGTGAGGATAGAGAATTTATGGCTATTACGAAAATCATGTAAAATGATAAATTAATCTACTTGTTTGCATCTTTCAAATCTGGGTTAATGACTTAGAAACTGGACGGTGATAAAAAATAGTACTCTGTACACATGCGTGTGCCGTTCACCACACGAAATTCAAGGTGATCAGGTGTATTACAAAATGTAAGATCAAAGGAATTTGGTGCCTTAACGAATTCCATTCCATATGTGCTACTTGTATAAAAACGAGAGTAGCAAAAAAAGAAAGTGAAATAATGAATTGCGCTATATTAGCTCTCATAAAAAGCCATGTTAGGTCCCAGACGCGAAACGATCCCTTTTAACGTTCCTACGACCTCGCTATACCTGCGCTCGTAAAATCCTGCCGGTGACAAGGACAATCCCAAAGTGCCGTCGGTCAGGTTGAAGGATTCTCCTGCGATAGTGATATTCATGGCGTCCTGGTCAGGCCCGAATGCGTTACTCGGAGTGTTGTTTAATCTCCATGAATAATTGTGGCGAAGATCGTAAATGACAAGACCATTTTGGTCCACATCAGCAATATAGAGATAAGAGTCGAGACACGTTGCTCCGACATCAACGACAGGAGTAACGAGAGAAGCCATGCCATTCAGGCTCTGACTCTGAGGTACAACATACTTATGGATCAAGCGATCATCTCTCAGATCAAAGATCAAGATCTTCGTAGGACACACGGCCATTCCCTTGATCCTCCCAGTGTCCACGACCCAGAGACGATTACACTCGTCGATCTGAATTTACAAAAAATTCTGAATATGAATTTGAATTATTTTTCAAAAATTCCAAAATTTATTAATCACTTCAAATATTTACCGCTATCCTGTAAACGGACACGAGACCATCGCAGTCGTAAGATTTGTGCCAGGTCCAGTCTGGATAAGGTGCCAGCAGTGGACCACCTGGACCATTGGCAGTGGTAACAGTTGACAGAACAATGGGGACACCATCCAACCACTGTGGACTAGTCACAAACACACGCCCAGTCCTGTCAACGTCAACATCCTGTGTAAACGCGTTACCCAGTATAAACTCTTTTCCTGTCAGTAGCACATTGGGCCAGACCCAGTCTAGGTACTTCCACTGGTACACCACTTCAAGTCCTGATCCTGATCCTTTTATTCCCAGTACCAGATTCAGGATCACGTAACACACTATACCCAGATTCATCCTAACCACTTGAACCACGTTTTTCTTACTCTTACTGATCCAAGGATCAGACTTGCATCCCGTTACCAGGCTCAACGTCTACTGAACTCCCTGCTCCCACTTCTAATCTCGCTCGGGCGCCTCAACGCAACTGCATCGTGGTGCGTGGGAATTTTCAGCAATATCACCGAACACCAGCCTGTAAGCCACTATTCGCACAACCTCAGACTTTCCCATTTATGCTAATCGAAAGGTCCAGTTCACCTTCAGCTGGACCGATGCCAGACGATCCATTGCGCGTTATGATTCGGTAGACAATCGTGATGCAACGGCTATTTCAATGCAAAGGGACGAGCTTAGTATAGGTATATATCTAAAAACAGGTATATATGTACTGAGCTGTATATAGCACCTACCTAGAATGGCCACCGTAAACTCACGTATATACCAACATCGGTGTATCCCACATAGCTGTACTAGAAAACGCGATTGAGACTACAGTGATTAGGCATGCGAAACACGTTTGTAGATTCTCATAGGAGAGAAAGACGATCCACGTGTACAGCTGGTTGCGTCGAGAGACAAATGATTCCCCGAGGAAACTAATTATTTACACGTCCGGAAATCGCTCGAATCGAAGCCGCAGGGTTTGGATCAATAAATCTGCCAAAACAAGCTCTCCTATAAATACAACCTACAGCAACCTCGCGCACCTGACCTTCCCATCAATCCAATCCGTAGAGCAAGCATGTAACGATGCCACTTAACCAGCATGGATAACGATGGAAAATCAGGAAATACATATAAATATCGCGGCGACTGGTTGCAAGAAATTTCTCTAGAAACGCAACGAAGAAAAGAACGGACAATTCAGAGAATCGATTAATTCGTGCGACAGACTGAGAAGGATGTAGGTGAAGGTACTTCAACGAACCGTCAAGGTGATTTGGCGTATCGCCGTTTATCGGTTATCCAATCAATTCTCAATGATGTTTATGCACCAGAAGGAAAGTCGGCGTAATGCTGCCGCGGCATTGAGAACGTACCAGCGTATGGAGGTGTGTCCCCGAAGTGACATGGTGAACTGGATCACGCACTGTATACAGTCACGTATCCGTAAACAAGCCCTGCACGTTCATTTTTCTATAATCTGTTTACACGTGCTCAACCAGGCATGTAGGTTGGCGTGGCAGTGGAAATCGAGAGGTTAATCACAACGTTGAAAGATATCGGCGAGAGGTGGAAGTGCAAGCTGAAGTGGTCGCCAGACCGAGTCGAACCCTCAGAAATAATCAAGTAAGAATTAAGGCCGGCTATCCGGATCTCATTGCGGCATACACGCGACGCGACCATAAGCGGTTTTGCTTTTTTCCTGCGAATGGAATCCCATTTTTTTGCGGTCCCCTTGCAGACCGCTTTGAATTGCATTATGCGCCTTACTGTATATGTATAGCAGACTGGCTGGCTGCTGTTGCCTATTAGAACTGTACTGGTGATAAATCAACTGCTGGGAATCACGATTGCAACCAAACGAGAAGACAAATGGGTGGCTAATTTCAATTTTGATATTAAGCACTGGTAAATTTTGTTATTTGAATTATCGCACGGGATTGGTAGCTAAATTTTTTTACTCGAGAATTTGGGAATGTTTGATTGTGATTGGCGTTCAGTCCGATCAGTTATTTTGGGTCGAAAATTTAAGTAACTTTCGATCATTACGATTTGAAGGCTTTATGGGCATTTTTTAAAGGATATTCGATGCGTTATAAATCATGAATGTTATAATGGTTCTTGGGTATGAAAAGAAGGTATATATCATTGTATATCATTCTATGGAGGATACATTACCATGCAAATGGTTACAGTGGTTTCGCGTGTCCATACTTCCTTAGGTATGTTTAGGGCTGCCATTTATGTGAACGTTCGATGAAAAACTGAGCTGTTGCGGCAACGAGTTATTTTGTAACCATTATTCGCGCGCCGTGCGAATTCTGGTATTGCGGCATTCTTGAAGATTGGAATAATAATTATTAAAGGGAAAATGTAAAAAGGAAACGTACTGACAAGATATACGGACATACGTGAACCAATTACAGCCGCATATCTAAACGCTAACCTGTCAAGTAACCCAGAGGAAATATTGACTCGAGATAAATAACAGTAATCAGAATTAGAAAGTTTCACCACGATGAACGCCCATGCGATTGAAAATTGCACAGGCAAGAAAATCATTTATCAAGAGTCTCTAATCTTGCCTGAAGTTCTGATAACCTTTGTGCTTTACGTACCAATTGGTATTTTTTACTGAAATTCACGCCAACTTTCGTCCTGACCTCAGCATAGTAACTCGAGGTCAGAAATGAAAAGAACTAAAAAAAAGTTAGTTAGATAAAAAAACCATCGGGTCGCAGACATTCATTATTCCCAGCGATTTTAACTTTCGAACTGCCATTTTCCCCGGAAGCTCGGACGATTTTATATCGACGAGGAGTCCCGCATCCCGCAAGATGTGTCTTCGGCCGAAACAGTTCTTCTTAAACTGAGTTTGGTAAACCCTCGTACAAGTCAAAGTTGAAAGTAGGAGGAAGATAGGACGTGGAGCGAGGAAAAGGAGGGAGAAGGGACGACGTGGCTAAAAGAGAGAAAGAATTGAAGTGAGGGAAGGTTGACTGTCAGTAGATACGGTAGAGGGGACGGCGAGGAGGGGATGGATAGGGGGGCCAGTTTTCCAGGAGGGTTGGGGAGAGGCGCCGTAAAAGTTGGCCAAGTCAATTTTGCAGTTGGAGTTGGTAATGCGATTTGTGCCGGAATAAATAGTTTGAGAGGGGTGAGCCCATTCCCTTCGACCCCTGTCCTTCGCCCCTCAGTGACACTGGTGTCGCGGGCACGTCTACTGTCAGACGTACCGAACGTGACGTCGTTCGCGGAAAATCTTTTTGTCGACTGAACTCTCAACTCTGTTTCATTCCTTCCGTTATACTGGGTAGTCTTACCTAACCTGACCACAAAATCACGTATTGCCCAAGGCACGTGGGAAAACCCTTGAAAATTGCGAAAGGACCAAACAGTCCTTTCTTTCGAAAAGTTTTTCCCTAACAGAATTTTCCAGATGACCCATGTGCAGGTATCCCGATCTTTGGACCACCTCGTAAACTCTTGAGAGGTCCGAGCAACCTTAAAAAAAAATAATAAAAATACCCAGACTCGCCAACGACCCTTTGTGGCCATTTTCTTTCCCTCCCTGAGGATCCAAGTGACCTTTTCTTTTTTATCCTGAAAAATGATCATGGCCAGCCCACGTTTCCCATGTCTCATTTAAAGGACACCCTGTGTGTGTTATTCGTCCTGTGTTAATCGTTACGAGCTTCCTCTGATCCGTAGGAAGCCAATAACAAGGACCCAGGACCACCTGCATCCCGCTACCGCTACTGCTATATATACGTAAAGTAACAGAGAAATCCATACGCAAGGGAAGAGGCGACTCTTTCGCTGGGGACACCGCATAATCCTACAAATGAAAACTTACGCTAATTAAACCGTTAATGGCGACCGCATATGTGCGTAATGACTATGGCGGTTACTTAATCCCGAGAAAATGAAACGTTCAGAGGACTCGCGTGTAAGCATCGCCTGCAGCTTTCTCCGTATCGTTAGTAGGAAACTATACGTGTGCAGCAACGGCTGTTTGCAATACCATTTTTTTTTTCATATTTCCTTCCTACCACCTCCCGTACCCCTTTGCCCTACCTTCATTAATTTCCCCTCTTGTTTGCACAACCGACGCCCAATTAATTCGTCACAATAAAAATTTTCTATCTGGTAACAACTCTGTAGTATTTCCTTATCTGGACGCCAGTAAACTTATCGATCTCGTTGTACATTATCGTGCACGTGGTATAGATATACCACATGTGTATATATATGCAGATGCATATATATACACATTGTCACCTCTACTGGTAACGATTTCAAAAGAAAAGTATACGAAATTTCGCAGAAAACCACCAGGGAGAATTTGAATAACGCAATTCACCGAGTTAAGTTTGCAAAGGGTAGCCCGTTGCAACGCAGCTGCTCTCACGGCAGTGCCAACCGCGCGGACTCCACTGTCAAATAATAACCTCCACCTAGTTTCCATAGGAAAAGTTTTGCAGGCTTTGGTAAAAGTAGAAAACGCGCCAACCAACAATACGGCGTTGTCCACTCACCGAGTTTTCTGTCCAGAGTGGCACACATAAGGGTATTCACTGGCTCTATTGAAAATCGTTACTCGTCCAAGTCCTCATAGTCACAAGTATTCACATATGTAAAACATATGTGTGTATGAATATACTCACATGCCAAAGGACATGTATCGAAATGGCCGTGCGTTAAATGGACGGAAAGCAAACGAAGAGAAACTTTTCTTTGTTCTTTGAACCTCGATCGTTGAATCATTTGATTATGCAAATTCTAGGGAGTTTTATAATTAGATATTCTCTATGTCAATATGACGGGTTGCTAAGTGCAGTTAATGGAAACTGGTTTTTCCGGATCTCTCTCTCTCTCTCCCACACACACTCTCTCTTCTCCTCTCTACTGATTCTAAACGATGCTGCATCAGGTCGGTTAGATATCACGTTAGTCAAGTAGGATTACCGCGATGTCATCTGAATCTTGTAATGTTTTGTTACGTAGGAAGAACTGCATCTCATCGTCAAATTCAAACCTGAAATCCCTGAGCCGTAGAAGAAGAAGAAGGACGATTCCCTTAACAAGAACCTGAAAAGATCTTCCTAGGATCGGGAGTGATTTATCACTGTAACCTCAGTACCTTCTACCGTCTACCTACTATCCTCCGACCATCCACGTCGCTCTTCACCTTCTTCAGACCTTTTCCCGACTTCCAACTGCGAATCCTTGGGATATCTTACTGTTCTTTTTCTGCATCGTCTGCCGATCGTAAAACCGAGAAAACACATTGGAATACGAAATATCCTCGAAACACGAAATTCCCTAAGTATCTAAAACCGAAAAAAAAAAATTGTTAAAAATGACGAGTTACTTCTAGATATTCGTTCAGACGTCAACAGGGTACGATGACGGTTGATGAAAAACGAAAATCAAAAAATTCTGATAACAATAGCGGATGCAATGATTACTGTGAAGTCAGCCGAGTAACCGATACGCTTGACCGATTTTTCACGGGATCGATAATTTCATTATAAACGGTTTAGTTTCTACCGCTCCCAATTACA